ACAAAAATTAGCTGGGTACGGTGGCAGGTGCCTGTAATCCCAGCTGAAGCAGAAGAATTGCTTGAACCCAGGAAGCAGAGGTTGTAGTGAGGCAAGATTGTGCCACTTGCACTCCAGTCTGGGTGACAGAGTGAGACTCTCTCTCTAAAAAAAAAAAAAAAAAAAAAAAAAGATTTGTTCCCCAAAGATGCAAATTTGCCTTGCTCCATTTCATGGTCATAGACTTTTACCCCATGCCAGCTTTCTTATAGATGTATGCTACAGGACAAAGGGGCCCAAGCAGGGTATTTGGAAAATCAACAAACACTAGAATTGGAAGAACAAGCAAAGACCACAGCACATGTGTAATTACCATCTTATACACACATCTCATGGTTTTAAAATAGTAGTTCCAATAATGTGAGACCTTAAATTGTCTTTTTCGACATCACTGATGAGTTCTCAGAATCAGTGTGTACATGAAGAAACTTAGTTTTATGCTTAAAGAACGATTCTTGTTTTGTTCATTACATCTGTAACATTTTATTTTCTAATTAAACTTTAAAATCATGGCCTTCCACATAAAATGGCATCATAAATCAAAATGAGAATACTTAGAACCCAATTGTTACACCATTGTCAAAGTCTAATTACATAATGGTCATTTTATAAACAAATGAAAGCCCTCAGGGCATGTCATGAGGGGATATTGCCTTTTCTAGGCTGAAGTCACTTGGCATCAAACTCATCTTAAAAGGCTCCTAAGGTGGGGTAATATCTGTGACTCATGAATTGTCCTTTCATTGCTGTACTGATTACATGATTTCCAGAATTAAATGAGCTATTAGCTTCTGACTTCATTTGTTTACAGCACACAATATTTATTACAGTAAATATTGTGTTCATTAAGTAAAATTAGTGGTATTCACTTGCCAGATATTACCAAAGAGAGGTGGTGGGAGAGAATCTAGTACATATATTATGAAATCAATGGTTCCATTTACCCCAAAGGAAGCAGTGAAGAGATGGAAAGTTGGCTTTATCCAAAACCCCAGGAAATCAACCTGAGGCACCCATAAACTAGTAAAAACTCCCCAAAGGGGCTGGTATCTCACTACCCTGAAATGGAGGAAGCCTAACCAAAGAGGGGTCCAGCAGGACATGCTCTACAGTGGAATGGAAGACCACACTGGGGCTGAGGGATGGCAGGAAGAGAAGACCAGGTGGTAAGAAGCTCGTTCAGGATAACAAAAGAGGAAATGGACAGGTGAACTTGGGTAATTAATTACTTTTCTGAGCTTCAGTATCCTCTTCTATAAAAAGAGATGGGTGAACCAGAAGGTCTGAAGCCTCCCTTTAAATTTCACAAGTCCATGTTTTTATGCTTGGGCTTGCATGGAACACATGCAATAGCAAAGAGCCCAGGGGTCAGGCACACCTATGAGCCACCCCGGCTCCACACTGGAGTGGCAGGTCCCTCTGCCTTTCCAAGTCTCAGCCTCCTCTGAAGTTTGGAAGCAAAGAAGTGTGGCAGACAGGCAGTGACCTCCTGAGAGAAGCCCAAGGATAGATCTAGCACTTCTAACTACATTTTTTTTCCTAAGATCACCTGGAATAAATTGAACACTAAGTGTACAAAAAGCAGCATACATTTCATTCTCTATACCACATGTTGTACGTGCTGCTTGGGATAAAGTGTTCTCTCTTCTCAATGTTTTTACATGGCTTGCTACTTTAGAGTATATACTTAATATCATCCATTCCCACCGCATGGAAAGAGGCCTGCCAAAAGTTAAGGATGCCAAAAGGAAGGCGGGAGTACAGTGCACATGCTGGAGAAGGAGAAACTCTATGATCACTTTTAACATCTTGTTTTTATCAAGACTCTCATGTCAAATGAAGATTATTCCAGGACGAGAAAAACACCAAAAAATGGGCCCTTTTGAGTAAAAATTCAGAATACCCGGGGGGGGGGGGGAAGCACAGCTGACTTTCAGCAACACTGAAAAATTGGAAACATTTGTCATCTTCTCCTACCTCTCCGTTTAGAAAGTTTTCCTCTTTCCTACCTCACAGCTCCCCACCTTGCCTCCTCTTCCCCTGCAGCTCTCCAGGGCCTCATCATTTATATCATGGTCTTCAAAGCATCCCTCCCCAAACTCTAGTCTTTCTGGCCAGCTTTTGAGGAAGAAATTGCACTCACAATTTAATGCATACTAAATGTTAAAATCTGATAATGGCTGAACTTTTGGCCTTTCAAACGTTACCCACAGTTTAGAAAAAGTGGGCAGAAAGTGTTATGCCAAAAAAAATTTCCAATGATAGATTTTCAGGTCAATTGGACAAAACAGTTTGAGGAATGAGACCACGGATTCCTTCAACTTTTCAAACAGGTCTAGAAATCTGAGCCATAATGTAGTAGCAAATTGTGGCTACTATTAACTTTTCTCCATGTTTGCTGGTCGGTTTGTTTTGTTTTGGGGTGTCTCCTCCTGGTTTGGTCAACTATCAGTATACATTCAACATGTGAGAAAATAATATACCTGTGCTTAAATTTATGTTCATGTTAGGCTATATAGAAATGGATGAAATTCGTCATTTTTAGTTTTGTATTCTTGTCAGTCTATTGCCTGGTACAGGTATCCTTTTTTTTTAAAAAAAAAAAAAAAAAAAAGTAGTCTCTTTGGGGACTTGGGAAGAAAGGGTGGGAAGTTGGGGAGGGATAAGACTACAAATTGGGTTCATTGTATACTGCTCAGGTGACTGCTGCACCAAAATCTCACAATCACCACTAAAGAACTTACTCATGTAACCAATTACCACCTGTTCCCCAAAACCCTATAGAAATAAAAAGTATTTTTTAAAAATTGGTAGTCTCTACAAGTCTGGATGGGTTATTCTACTTTTCCCTTTTAACATCCTGTCCTTAGCTAGTTATAAAGTTGGCAGAGTTCTCAACCTGAGCACTGATGACATTTGGGGTCAAAAATTTTGTGTGTGTGGATATTATCCTGTGCATTGTAGAAGTTTAGCAGCAACCCTGGTCTCTACCTGTTAGATGCCAGTAGCACCCTTTCCGGGTTAGGGTAACCAAAACTGTCTCCAGGCACTGTCAAATGTCCCCTGGGAGGCAAAATCACTTGAGAACCACAGAGTTAAAGTAAGATTACACAAATGAAAACCCAGCTCACAGTTAGGAAGAAAAACTTAACAGCTGTTTTTAAAAGGGTAGTAATGTGATATATAATTCAAAATTATGTCCACTGGCTAGCCTCTATATAGTCTTATTCTAAGAAGAATCGGTATCAAAATCTTCAAGAAAAAAAGGATTCAGCAACTAACAGAGTTTGAAAACAAGAGTATTAGGGGAAGCCCCAAATATTACTTCATCTAGAGAATTCTTCTGTCCTCTGGTCATAATACATGCTTTTTAGTTAATAGTTTGTGATACTAGAAAAGGACAAAACTAATGGGGACACAGAGCACTTTGCCCTCCTCAGCTGAGATGGCCTAGCAGACAGCTGCAGAACAAATTTCAATCACAAAGATAATGTTGTGAAACAGATACTCAAGTTACCAGAATAGAGAAATAGCACAAACCCATGTAATAGGTTGCAAGCATGTTTTACGGGATAAAGTGATTTAATTTTTAAATTATGGCAGGCCTGAAAAAAAATTAAAGACTTGCCTTTCTTGCTGGTTGCTATTTTGGAAGCAATAAAGACACAGCTCATATAAAACTGTATTTCTTCTGCCAATTCACGTTTGGCTGTAGAATTTTCTCCTCTTCCCTCTCCGGGCTCTTGACATCCCGCTAGCATCCCAAGACAAAGGCAGAACTACAGGGGAGTGGCGCTCAGACCCCTGTGGGTCTTTTCTCAGGCAGAGAGAGAATCAGATTCTCCACCTGGAACCCATAGAGGAAGGATCGCCAGAACACACAGCTTTTAAAACATATCTTTACCCACACGTACAGAAGGACAGGTTAAAATATATTCTAGTCCTCTTTCTCTCACTTCAAATTCCATCAGTGTTGTAAATTGGCTCATCCTACGCCCCTTTCTTCTTTCCTTTAGACCAGTGGCTCTCAAAGTTGGATGTGATCAGCATCCCCGGGGAACAGGTTAGAAATGCAAATCTTCAGCCCCTACTCCAGACTTAGGGACTCCCCTAAAGTCCAGGAACCCCTGATTTAGGCCAGTGTTCTTTCTAGAATCATAAAAATTGTTTCTTAGAGAAAGCAAAACTGCAATTCTCATTCCATCCTCAAACCTGCTGCAAGGTAGGTATTAGCCCCACGTTAGGGATGAGGAAACCGGCTCTGGGGTTACAAGTCGGCCCAAGGTCTCAAAGCTAGTCACTGCACGGGGAAGGTTAAAGTGTTTGCACTTCTTTTCACTACTGAAACAAATTTATCGCAAGTTGTTAACATCTGGATTTCTTGCTGGTTGGCTGGTTGGGTTTTGTTTTTGCTCTTTCAGCTTTCGTCAATTCGGAAAAATATAAAACCGAGTGGGTGAGAGGAGTGTGCCACATGCCTCGGTTCTTCCCGAGTCGGAATTTAAGGGCAGGACTCTGGAAAGGTGTTTTTCCAGTAAAGATCGTTTTGTTCTGCTGCGGCCCGTCCTGTCTTTGAGGGAAATACACTCTGTCCCCCACAGCAGACACACAAGCGGCCAGAGCTGCACGGCGGGGCCGCGGGCATCCCGACGCGACAGGTTGTCTGCGGGAAGGGAGCCCGTCAGCCGGGGCCCGGCGCGCCGCGGCTCGGGGCTGGGGAGACTGGTTTACGGGGCAAACTGGAACACCCCAAAGCCCGGGGGACGCCCGGGCCTACGCCGCAGCTCGGGAAGGAGGGGGCGAGTGGTGAACCCGAAACCGCTGAGGGCCGCGCGGCCAGAAACCACACGGACCGCTAGGGTGGCAATGAAGATCCGGGAGGAGCGCGCAGGCTGTAGAGGAGAGAGTGGGCGAGGACCCGGGAAATGGAAATGGGGCGGGGAGAACGGGCCGGCACTCACTGTGAGGGTCGCTCTTCTCCCGGACCCCGTCCACTCGGCCGTCGGGGTGGATTCGCAGGAAGAAGCCCCCGTTTTTGCAGTACAGCCGCTTGGGGTCTTTGAAGTGGCCGGGCGGGAAGGCGCCGCTACCGCCGTCCTCGGGCAGGGCGGGCAGCGTGGTGATGCTCCCGGCTGCCATGGTCCCTCCGGGACCCTGCCGGGGACCCCGAGCCGCTGGAGCCGAGCGGGGAGCCGCCGCCCCCCGGCCACGGCCCCGGCCTCCGACCCGCTCCAGGGCACGGCCCCGGCCCCGGCCCCCCAGCCTCCCGCCCGGCAGTGCGCGGCCGCGCCCGCGGGCCCCCAGCCTCGCACCGCTTGGCCGCTCTTCTGTCCGCCGGCCTCTGGTGCGCCGCGAGCCGGCGGCCCGAAAGCTGGGGTTCAGGAAAGGGTGTTTCCGCGGCCGGCGCCTGGGGAGAGCCGCCCAGCAAACTGCAGCGCCCGGGATCCCGTTGCAACCGCGGGCACCGCGTCCGCTGATCTGGCACCCGCCGGGCCGCGGCGTCACATCTTCTACATCTCCACCCCCGACACCCACCAGCCACCCGCGCCCCCGGCTCTCCTCCCTCCTGCGCGCCGCCCCCCTACTCGCTCGGGGTTTTCTGGGGCCGGCCTCTGAGTCCGGCGCTTCGGCCACAACACGCAAGCGCGACATCTGTCCCGGGGACAGCCGGGTGGGGGAGGGGCGGGGGGCGCGCCGGAGGCCGCAGCAGGACCCCGGTAGTCCCGGGGCTCCACGGTCCCTTGTCCCCCAGAAGTCACCCCCGCCCAACCCCGCACCACCCAAACCATGTTTAGGCTTTCTCTACACTGCGGGGCTTTTGCTGCGCAACCAGCCGTGACTCAACTTTTAAAAGTTTAAATACAACTTTCTCCCCCATTTTTTCCCTTGCTAGCGTTTCAAAACGGGGAAGCTGTTTCCACCCCAAAGTAGAGAAGTCGGAATCCAGGGAAGATTCTGTGTCAGAACAGGCTCTGAAAATCTCTAAATCACCAAAAGACGAGGGGTACACGTGGGGCATGAACTGTTTAAAAATAAAGGACAGAGACTAAAGTCGTCTATCAACAAAAGGAAAGAAAGAGGCCAGAGAAGGGAAGCAGATTGGGTTACTGACCCAACTTGAATTAGACAACACAGAAAGGTGAGGATGAGGCCCAAATCCTTATCGCGATAGAAGCGCATTAATGTCTTAACTCGGAGCTGGCATTTGCCCTAGCTGAATTGTTAATACATTTCTTGGAGACAGAGTTAATTTCTGTAAATCCCAAATGTAAATTTGAAGTTTCTTGCATTTTGGTAATTTTCAGTAGGATATAGCAGGTGCGACAGATGATTAGCAAACTTGCAGGGCTTTTGCTGCGCAATCAGCCGTGACTCAACTTTTAAAGGTTTAAATACAACTTTCTCCCCCATTTTTTCCCTTGCTAGCGTTTCCAAACTTGCTAATCATCTGTAGCACCTGCTATATCCTACTGAAAATTACTGTTTCACTCAGTGAGGGAGATAAGATGGGTAGCATGAGTAACACAAATACCAGTAGAAAGTAACTAGACCATAGAAGAGTAAGACTATGTGCTGTGACATTTCAGACATGGGGTAACTCAGTTGGGGAAGCAGGAGATTTAGGGAAGCTTCTAGAAGGAGTTGCAAGTGCTTCCTTGTAGAAACATTAGGTTTCAAAAGGTCATGTATAAGTGCATTTTTCTCAAATCTCCAAGAGGGCTTTAACTCCAGATTCATTTCTAGAATGTTAAATATAGGAGTGTGAGTAAATTCTCCGAAGCTTTAAAACCAGGCATACTCTTCTTTCTTCTTGCAGCTAGTGTATGTTCTATAGAGAAGGGGAAAAAAAAATTCCTCATTCATTACTAGGTTTATGGCTGAAGCTCCTGTAGCAACAGACACATTAACAAGAGAAAAACATACTAATTTGTTTATATAAGTTTTACACAAAACAGGAGCCTTCAGAAATGAAGACCCAAAGTTAATAGAGAAACCTGTGTATTTTTAAGGCTAGGACTGATAAAGAAGTGGAAGTCATAGAGAAGTATGATTGGACAAATATCTATGATCTAATGGTAATAAACTGGGGAGACTTACTTGGAAAGGCCTGTTTGTTCAGATGCTTCTCCCTGTACCTGTGTCTTCAGAGATAAGGATATCCCTTTCCTCCAGGTATAGAGAAGGCACTTCTGGAATGAAAGTCTCATGAGCCTGCTTCAGAAGAGAAGATCTGGGGAAAGTGAAAGTAACCCTCTTGCTTCTGCTGTTTTCTCAAGTGCCAAGGTACCATTATTTTGGGGTAGCATGTCCTGAACCCCAATTCTCTAACATCTCTCTCCAAAATGGATTAATTTCATCTTCACTGAAAATCCATCTATTGAGACAAATATCACTCCCTCCAGGTAATCTCTCTAGGTGCTACAGTGGTGCTGAGTATTCCCTAGAATGATTGAACTCTGGCTTCAACTCTGTGTCACAGAAACCTGAGGATTCCAAGAGCACAGGGATAAAATCTAAGTCATGATATTTCGGTATCCAGAAGCTTGGGGAGCAGCTACAAGAAGCAAAATAACTTACATTCTCTATAATTCAAACAAATAATCTAATTTTCAAATGGGAGAAAGATTTGAACAGATACTTCGCCAAAGAAAATATACAAATAGCCAATAAGTACATGACAAGGGGCTCAACATCCTTAGTCATTGGAGAAATACAAATCAGCTTTTCTGAGGATCCGGCAAGATGGCAGAGGTAGAGCAGAAGAAGCAGCGGACCTCCCGCAAGTTCACCTACAGCGGTGTGGACCTGGACCAGCTGCTGGACAATGTCCTACGAAGCAGCTGATGCAGCTGTACAGTGAGAGCCAGCGGCGGCAGCAGACCCAGGGCCTGTGGCGGAAGCAGCACTTGCTGCTGAAGCGCCTGCGCAAGGCCACAAAGCCCCCCCCGCCCACCACCCCATGAAGAAGCCTGAAGTAATGATGCACCTGCAGACATGATTGTCCTGCCCCAAGTGGTGGGCAGCATGGTGGGCGTCTACAACTGCAAGACCTCCAAGTAGGTGGAGATCAAGACATAGATTACCGGCCACTACCTACCTGGGCGAGTACTCCATCACCTGCAAGCACTGCCGGCCCTGCCGTCGGGGCCACCCACTCCTCCCGCTTCATCCCCCTCAAATAGTAGCTCAGCTAATAAAGGCACACATATCTCCAAAAAAAAAAGGATAGCGAGAAATACAAAAATACAAATCAAAACAACAAGATACCACTTTACACCCACTAGGCTAGCTGTAATTAAGAAATAACAAAAAACAAGTGTGGAAGATGTGGTAAACGTGGAACCCTCAGACATAGCTGGTGGGAAGGTAAAATGATGTAGTCAATATAAAAAACAGTCTGACAGTTACTTCAAAATTAGAGTCACCAGACAAGGCAGCAATTCCACTCCTAGGTATGTAGCCAAGAGAATTAGAAACATACATTCACATGAAAACATGTACATAAATGTTCATAGCAGCTTTATTCGTAATAACCAAAAAGTGGAAACAAGCCAAATGTCCATCAATTGATGAATGGGTAAATCAAATGTGGAAGATCCATAAAATGAAATGTTATTTGACAACAAAAAGAAACGAATTACTGATACATGCTACAACATGGATGAAGCTTGAAAACATTGTGCTTCATGGAAGAAGCCAGGAAGAGAAGGCCACGTGTTGTATGATTCCATTTATATGAGATCCCTAGGATAGGCAAATCCATAGAAACAGAGAGCAGCTTAATGGCTGCCAGAGTTGAAGGAGAGGGAAATCGGTAGTTACTGCTAATGAGTATGGGATTTCCTTTCGGAGCTAGAAAAGAGTTCTGGAATTAGATAGTGGTGATGGTTCTTACACAACTTTGTGAATATAGTGAAAACCACTGAATTGTACACTTTAAAATGGTGAATTTCATGATATGTGAATTGTATCTTAAAAAAAGAAAAATAATAGATGTCAAAATGAAAATGAGTTTTTTTCCTCCCATAAAGTTGGAGAAGGGGGGAGATATTATTCAGTGCTAAGGATGAGGTGAACCAGAGATCTCATCAACAGTCAGAGGGAGGCTAAATTATACAGCATTTTGGGAAGACTGTTTAAAAAAGTACATCGTATTTTGAATTTTTGATTTTTTTTTGAGACAGGGTCTCACTCTGTCACCCAAGCTGGAGTGCAATGGCACGATCATGGTTCACTGAAACCTCGACCTCCCAGGTTCAGGAGGTTCTCCTACCTCAGCCTCCCAGGTTTGCTGGGACTATAGGCACATGTCACCACGTGTGGCTGATCTTTTGTATTTTTTGTAGAGACAGATTTCACCATATTGCCCAGGTTGGTCTCAAACTCCTGGGCTCACATAATCTGCCAGTCTTAGCATGCCAAAGTGCTGTGATTACAGGCATGTGTCACCACGACTGGCCCAATTTTTGAAATTTGAATACCATTTGAACCAACAGTTTTGATGCAAGAAATTTTTTCTAAAGACATGATTATAGAGGCACACAAAGATTTATCAATCTGGGTGTTTGTTATATCCTTTATTTTAATGAGGGAAAATGAGGGATAATCTAGGTGAGTAATGTGAATAAATTATGTTATATTCATTCAAAGTAGTATGTTTCGGATAGCCAAATAAACAGTTTTGTGGAAAAATGTATAATACCTTAAAAAAATGCTTACAATATTGTATATTGTTAATTAAAAGTAGGTTACAAAACTATATAATAGTATCTCATTTATTTATTATGCTTTCATACATATATTAGAATGAGAAACACTAAAGTATTCGTAGTGATATTTTAGATGGTAGAATTTTTTTATGCAAACAAGTTATTACCATCATATAAACTTATCATCTAAAATTGTATCTTGTTTATTTGGTTTCTCATTATCAGCTTTCTTTCTCCACTATAATACAAGAAAACTTAGAGCAGAGATCTTTCTGGCCTGCGCATTACGGTATCCCAAGGACCTAATGGCACTAAGTGGGGGCCTCCATAAGTTGGTTTGCTTGTTTCTTCTTTGTCAAATGAAGGAATGCATTATTTTCATCACACAAACCTGTTTTTGAAAGCTAAGTTCATCATCTACATTACGGAGGCCTGGGTATCAGTGTAGTCAATGTCTGTGGAAGTCTATATCTTAACCATTTTATAATGAAAATCACATTAAACCCATTTCCTCATGAAAATCTCACAAAAATGCACAGATTACTGTTTTCTAAAACCTAGTACATCAAAAAGAATCTTACTAGTTCTCCAGATCATCATTGTATCATCAGCTATGAAATAATAGAGTGAACCACTGTATTTTATCTCCACAAGAGGTAGCAAAGATTACTGTCTACTTCTTGTGCTCAGCTAACAGATTCTAATTTCACCCAACTAATTTTCTGTGCTTTATGTTGACTTTGTGACCTTTATTTTTAAAAACAAATAAACAATAACAAACACATAAAACTTCCAGAAATAGCCAATGGTTTATATTGCATTTGGCTATTTTATTTTTAAATATTGTATTGTCACTCTATATTGCCAAGCTACAATTATTCTTTGTTCTCAGAAGATGAGTGGCCTCTTGCTGTGCGTATTACCACTAGAGCTGCACCTCCTCTCAGATCAGCGATGGTATTAAATACTCACAGGAGGCTGGGCATGGTGGCTCATGCCTATAATCCCAACACTTTGGATGACCAAGGGCCACAAATCACCTGAGATCAGGA